TGAAGAAGATACAGGTCCTTTGGCTGGAGGTTGAAGATGAAGTGTAATCAGGGCGCGTTTTGTGTTATATATTTATCGTTTCAGTTATATTAACGGATGTACAGCCACCCCAGTGGTAAGGCAGCATGCTGGTAACCTCAAGGTCACGGGTTCAAGACCCAGCGCTTCCTTCTGCTTTTTCTTTTCACATTTTTACAGTTTTTTTGGATTTTTGCTTTTTTCTTTTCACATTGTTACAGTTTTTTTGGATTTTTGCAGCGCTAGGCTCCCCTTTGTTGGGCCTAACCTTTTTTGGTTATTTTTACTCCCTGTTTCATTTTGTAACCCCCTTGACTTTCCTTTATATATTTATTTTCTTTTTTTATTTTACTTTTTAATTATTTTTATTGTTATTATTATTATTAATATTATTATCATTATCATTACTATTATTATTTTAATAAATCATAAAAAATCCAAATTTATTTTTATTTATTATTTATACTTATATACTTTCTCTATAAAACAAAAAAATTTAAAAAAAAAACACTTTCTCAAACAAATTGATTTATTTTTTTAAATAATTAATCTTTAGACTTAGGTTAAATTAGTATATTATTTTATTTTCTTAGTTAAAATTAATTTAGAACTTAGGTTATTTTAATTAATTAATCTTCATTTTAATTTTCATTAATTTAAAACCTTTTCATAAAAAAATCCTAAAAATCCTTTTCAAATTAATTTCTTTTCTTATTTAGTTTAAGTTAATTTTATTTAATTTTAATTAATCATTTTTCTTTAATTAGGTCAAGACAAAACCCCTTTCATAAAAAAACAACAAAAATCATTTCTTTTTCCATTTATATTCTTGTATTTTATTTTCAATTTTGCACAATATTCAATATGGTTGTAATAGATAATTAGGTTAAATTTTCTTGCAATCCTCATTTGTAAATTTGTACACCCCCTCCCTTAATAATGTAATAGCGTAGTAATTTTACTTTTCGCAATTTATCGCTTTATATAAATGCTAGTAATTAGGGTTTGTATGAGAAGATAAAATCAACAAATAACAAACCCTAATCAAAGACTAAACAAAGCATGAAAATCAATACACTTGCACACAAGCACCCCTAGGGTAAAATCCACTTGGTTGCTTTATAAAAATGGCCATATTATGAATGTGAGGTATCTTATCAAAAACAAGCAAAAAATACAAGATCATAGTCCTTCGATGACACTATCTATGTTGCCTTTCAAAATGACCTTAGTCCCTAAAGAAAAATGCTAAGATACCTTGCAACATTGCTAATCATGGTTATACGATGACCCACGCCCGTCCTGTTTACATCCAAAGATAGGGTTACTTACCAAATCAATGGTAAGATAACAATGTCAAAGGAAAGAGGAAATAAACATGAAAGACTTTTTGAGTAGGTAGAATGTTCCTAGTTACTTTCTCACTTTCAAAACAAAACATCCTTGCTATTTTCAAAACAAACACCAACACTTTCAAAAAACATCTTTCAAATTTGAAAATATTTTCAAAAGATCAACACTTTGTATACATTCTTACGAACGAGAATCATTACAAAGTTTGCCTAAACGATGGCATCTTTACAAAATACTTTCAAAAACCACACAAAGTACATTTTCAAACAAAAAAGCAAGTGATCTAGCAAGTAACTAAGAGCCCATAGAAAACCATGGATGAAAATGGTGCTAATACCTTCCATTTTCATAATCTATCCCCCGATCTTAAGAAAACATCTCTAAAGGTCTTTCCTGTTCTTTTCATCCTTTCCTTATTGGATAAAAGAAAAGTCGATGGCGACTCTTGCTAACCACAACATTTTCGGTAAAATGCAAAATAACCAAGTTAGTTCTTCCACCGTATCACAAACAACATCAAAGGGCATTTAAGAGTAAAACATGATTGAACAACATCGAATGCAATCAAGAGTAAAACATGATTGAACAATATCAAAGACAATCCAGAATGAAACATGATTGAACAACATCAAAGGCAATCAAGAGTAAAACATGATTGAACAACATCAAAGGCAATCAAGAGTAAAACATGATTGAACAACATCAAAGGCAATCAAGAGTAAAACAGGATTGAACAACATCAAAGGAAATCAAGAATAAAACATGATTGAACAACATCGAAGGCAAAGATTAAAAGATGATTGAGCTCTAAAAATATTCCCAAAGACATTCAAGAGTCAAATATGAATGAATTTGAAAGGAGGATAGGCAAGAACAAGTTTCAGAAAAACAACAGAACAAAAAACTGATAAGAATTGCAAGGATGAACAAATGTTTTGATAAATACCAAATAAGTTGGACTTAGGCCACAAGATCAGATGTTGAAATTAACAAGACCTGGAAAAATGAATATGAGTATGCATGGTATATGAATTTTTCTATGCATGATATATGAATGCTTTATGTAATGCTGATGCTAACACAATTGGGTTAGACTCTTTTGTGAGAAAAGATTGGACTTTGATTTCTCAACACAGGAAACATTGTCAAGCCTAAAATTAGAAGATGTTTTGAACAAACCTCCAGCACATCTGTGAAAAAAATATCCTCAAATGAAGGACTATAGAGCTACTTGGGGATTATTGAAGAAGATGACTCCAAACCCAACTGACAGGTGTAAAATGACAGGTCATTGCTATATACCTGGCACACTTTCCCCAACATGAGTCTTGAAGAAGAAATTCTGATAAACTTGTAAGAGAATCAGTCACTGATAAACAAAACTTGGAATAACCTCCAACAGAACCCGGAAGATACTTGCCCCTGATTAAAACAAATGTATCTTCTTCTCTTTCCTTGATCTTGAGCTCGATCAAGTGAACCATATACTTCTAATTTTATCCTCAGTATATCGTTACTCCTTTGCAAGAATCCTCATTCTCCAAATCCTTCACTCAGCTGAATCCAAATTACGAACTTATCGTGACCCAAGATTTACCAAAGTGGTCCTCGAGTTACCGTTGCTCCTTCGACCGAACCCACCGTTCTTCAAAGCTTTCACTTGGCTGAATCGAAATTGTGTAATCTTGTACAAAACCTTCAAATCACCAATGATCTTGAAGGAAACCCTCATCTTAGTTTTCTTATTTGAAACACCCAAAGAATTCTCAACTCAACCGATTACATTGAATCCTAATTAGACGTTATCAAACTATCTCTAGATGGAACCAAACAAATAGTGAATATGTGTAACTTGTTATGTGTATGCATAGAGAGGATGAAAATGATGAGTAATGCTTTGTATAGTTGTGGTTTTGTATGTTAGAAATGATGCATGAATGAATATATAAATATGTGTGAGGGTGTACTTGAGAAAACAAAAAAAAAACGTTGCAAAACTACAAAAATTGACATTTGGATCAGTGGGAACCGACCCATATGAAGAGGGAGTCAACTCCTAAGGGAAAGGGACTCAACCTATATTTCCTGGGAGTCGACTCTTTTTAGACATAGAGGAATTTTCGAAAGTAGCTTAAGTAGGAGTTGATACCTAACACGTGGTAGTCGATTCATTTGTGTTATGTATTGACTCCAAGACCTTGGGAGTCGGCTCCTTTGGACCAGAGAGTTTCTTTTCAAAATTCTTTTAGCGGGAGTTGACTCTTAACACGAGTGAGTCGATTCCAAACATGATTTGTCATAAAAATTGCATATTTTTGAAGTTCTTAACATGTCCAAAAGCGTTTGCCTCAATCCCTAAGTGTCTTAAGATGAGAATGCAACCTAGACATAGAGAGATATTGTCCAATATACAAATACTACATATTTCATAATTTTGACATCACTCAAAACATCTAAGAGAGGATATTGCACTCACATCATGTATCTTCTTTGGCCCAAATTTAGAATCTTGGAGCTCTAAGAAACAATGACCTGTGGTCAGGTCAAGTGCATAGGGGGAATATCGTGCATTGTGACATACGACTTCAGAATTTTTGTGGATTGAGTCACGACTGATTGAACTCCCCGTTTCTTTCTTTCCTCCCACGTTGTTGTGTAACAATCTGAGTATCGTTCATCTATCTCACAATCTAATTATTCATGCGCGCACAAAACATATTGAATTGTACATTTATTTTGTAAGAGAACACATGGCTTCCAAAAATCTAGCTACTCAATAGATTTTAGCTGCCTTTAAAATTATTGATACGCTAAGTAAACCACTTGGCTCCACAACTGTATGTGTCTTGTGTGTCAAGCTTAAAGTTAGTCTTCAACCACCGTAAGTTTGAGGGAAAGTATTACAAATATTAATTTAAAAGGCTTGTTAGGCTTATGTTCTATTACTAGAAAGGTTGTTAGAGTTAGTTAAAACTCAACCAACTTCAACTAATTCTCTATATATATAGTTCTTCCATTATTGTGTAAAGGTTAAGCTTTATATCAATGAAGAATGAAAAAGAATTAGAGATATTCAACTTATCAAAGCTATCTAATACTCTAACAAACAACTATCCTAAAGAAAAGGTGCTTCTTACTTCCATTCATTCTCAGCCGAAAAAAAGGCTACTTACCGATGGCAAAAAGAAATGCATTATTAACATAATGGACCTCCATATTTAAGAGGTGGTTTGGAATTTAATGCATGCAAAAAAAATTCCTTGGTGATAATATTTTGGTGTCACTATAGTTAGTTGTATATCACTGTAACCACATTCTATCCTTTTTAGGATTCAAGATTTTCTATTGGACAGCTGTGTCATCTATACTCTCATCATTACTTAGGATGTTAACTTTATTACTCTCTCCTTCTCACAATAACATATCATCCACTTTTAACAACTTTTTAACCATAAACTGCCATTACTAAAGCCAAATAAAATATATCATGTTAAAGCCAACCCAAAAACACATCAACATTATTCTCACACAAAAAAAAAAAAACACACACACACCTTCTATCTATAAAGCACTGACACAAACACCGAGACGTTTACACCGCAGTAATATTTTGATTCAAACAGATCATGCTAATTGTATAGCAATTTTGAAGCATGTGGTGAGTTAGAGGCCTGCAGTGGTGCTGCTATAATATAACCATGCCTTGTTTTTGCATAAGACTTTGTCTCTCCTGGAAACCTAGCAACCTGAGGACTAGTATTGTTTTTGTTTCTGTTACTAATATTTGGACTTGAACTTTGTTTCCCATATGTTATGAAGGCATCACCAGCAACTCTGACTGCTTTGTGGCTCTTGCATCCCAACAAGATACCTGGACGCCGTCTCGGTACCTCCCTAGTGATCTTTAATGGACTCCTTACTGTAAACTCAGACATTTGATCTTCACAATCTGACATTACTGCAGCACTGGCTGTAACTACACTCCATTCTATGCTCGCCTCACTCGGCGCGTAACAAGTCGGGCTAACGCAACTTGAAGCAGCATCTGATGTCTGTCTAGTGAGAAAGGCTTTTCCTTTGAGACTCTCGATCTCAAACAAATCAGAACTTGCATCACTTCCGACATCATCATCGTCATAGTTTGCATCAACAATTTCTTCCATTTTGGAAGGAGGTATAAACCTTCTATCAATGCTTAAGGAACTTCTCTTGTTATTGGTTGATATTGGATTTGGTGATCCAAATACTTCAAGTGATTTTCTTGGTGTCTTTTCTTCATCTAATGGAATTTGCATTTTGACAAGATGATTTCTTGAGTTAGAAGCCAGACTATTCTTTTCACTGTTTAATCTTACACTTAAACTCTCTTGCTTTTGAAATAAAACATCTTTATTGATGAAAAGTTCTGAATTAGGCTTTTTCATTTTAATTGAAAGATCATCGTCGAGATCGAATACTTTTTTCGGTGTTTTTTTTCCATGAACTGCACCATAGTTAGAAGCTTTGTTATTAAAACTGATTTCACCTGCATGATCACTGATATCAACAGAATTCTTATCAGAACAATAGCATTTGAGACCAAGTCTTGATAGAACACTCTTAGAATGCACCTTATCATTGCTATTCCTTACAGAATCTCTCTTTAAGAGTGCATTTTGGCTATTCATTGTTGATGCAGAACTAATACTCGAAGTTCCATACTCAACTTGGTACTTTCTAGTTTTAGTAGCCATTGTTTCATGCTTTTGAGGAAGGTACTTTGCAGAAGCTTTTGGAGTTTCAAATACTTTTCTGTTGAAGTATTTTTCAGCTCCAAATACTCCAATTTCTCCACTTTGTTCTGTCTTTTCCACTTGATGAAGAGGAGAGTTTCTGTTGCTAATAAAGGGGTTAATTATTTGGCTTGATTCACCCATTTTTCCAATAAAGTCCCCTTCATTGGTATTCAAATATGGAGAGAAAATAACATCATGAAGGTTTTTGTTATTATTGTTGTTTTCAGAGGTGAAAGTGAACATAGTTGATGGAAATTTTGTTGAGAGTACAAACCAAAGAGAGAAAATGAGCCAGAAGAAGTTGTTTGAAGAAAGGTAAAATAATAGAAAAACAAGGATAAGGCACAGAATCTTAAAATAAAAAAGAATGGAAAGACACTCCAATACTTGTGGAAGTAAAAGAATTAATATAAAGCTGGAAAGGAAAAGTAATCATGATTCATATATGTCAATACAAGGCTAAAGGTGGAGAGAAGAAAGGAAAATGGACAAGAGATAATTTAAAGTGAAGGGTGAATGGATGAGTATTATGGGGTGGCACTATATGTAGGCAAGTGGAGTATGCAAGTATTAAGTAGGTAGGGCCATGACAGTTGATCATAGTTTTCAGGTTGATTTAATACTGCTAAAACTAATATATTATTAATAATTCTTTGTCTTCCTAATAACATGATTTAGAACATATTAGTTATTCAGGCTTTTTAATTTTTTATTAATTATTCAATCTTTCAGTGAGAATATCTACAAGTTATCCTTATGAGAACACTTATGGGAATCAGACCACTATGAAGCTTACTTCTAATAAAGTGTCATTAACATCAATATGATTAGTTTGATCTTGTTGAACTAAATTATATGTTATACCGATAGTTGATCTATTATCATTGTACAACTTCAATTGCCTGTATAAGCATATTTGTAAGGGACCTAAAAAGGGCGGCATAGAAAGTTCACTAACGGGAGGCGGCGTAGCATGTCGCCAATACTAACTTCTTAGTCGCTTGTTTGTGTGTGATTTGGTTATGATGCTCATTTCTCAAATCGCCTGCCTTTATGTGGAACAGTGGAAGTGACGTATCCTATTTCGTAACCATATAAGAGAGGGAGTCAAATGTAGGTACTCACGTTCCCCCAAAGAAACAGGGGAATTAAGTATCATCTTTCCACGCTCTTAAGAATGAGAAGTGCGGAACTTATCTTCTTGGGATCTGAGATCTAGGCCCAAAAGATTCTTATAATTACCTCAACCATTAGGTTGATAGGGGGGTCTAATCCATTACGCAAAAAATCATATATAGAACTTCTCACCACTCATGTGTGAGCTTACTCTTGTTGTAACTGGTTTTAAATTCGAGAGTCGTCACCCTTAATTTTTATCCTAACGAACGGAATATAAAAGATAACCTTAAAAGTTAGAGATTATAGGTTTTTTGGACTCAGTTCTAGACGAAGGAAAGGTGTTAGACACCCCCACATCTATCTTGTTCACAAGGATACTAGAGTTAGAAGCGTGATCTTAGAAAATAGGGTTTTAATTTTTATTAGGGGAACTCGCCACGATTTTAGTTGTATGCCTACTTAACCTCTTAGGAGGAATCAGAGTCTCAATTTGTAATTTGCTGTTGTTTGTGTTTTTTATGGATTACAAAGATATTTGAATTTCCTGCATACTTAGTCTAGGTCTATGAATAGCGGAGATATTTAGACAAAGCGTGCGGTTAATTAAAATGTATTTCATAATCTTTTTCGAAAATTAATTGTTGAACTAATTTAGTTATGAAAAATAATTTGTTGTTGGTTGAATATTTTTATGTGTTAATCGTAGAAACATATTTATTTAAATGCATGATTAAAAATATTTTTATGGAATGAAAAAAAATAATATTTTGGATGAATTTTGAAAATAATATTCATGTGATTTAATAATAATAATAATAATAATAATTAATATAATATTATCATTATAAAAAGAAAATATAAAATATAAAAATAATAAAGAAAATTAAATAAAACGCAAGAGGGTGCAAATAATACTAGGCTAGTAAAAATGGGGGATGCAAATATTAGGACTCTGAATTTAGATATTGAATTCAGGCCCAATAAGACAAGGGAGTACATTTTTGAGTGCGTTAGTAAAACTGGGGGGCGTGTAAAGCATCAATTAACCATCAAGCTAAGTTAGAGATTACCTTCCTGTGCCTTAAATTTCTTTGTTCCGGTTCCCTTTCTAAGCTCTCTCTTTTTGATTCGCAGGTGGAAGTCGGTGATGATGATTAAGGTGGGGGTGGCGCGACGACTGGATCTAGGGTTTCAGATGTTGAAACCCTAGGCGGAGGTGAATGGAGATTACAACAGCGAGGCTTCTCTATCCTTCTACTATTACGAATTTTTCTCCTTCTAATAATTTTCTTCTCTGTAATTCTTTCCTCTCTGATTTTTTTGTTGGTCCTTTGTTTTGTTTTAACAATTAAGTTTTATAGTGTTTTAGGAGTTGAGTATATTAACAAAATAGATTAATATGTCTGTAATTTGTTATAAGATTTTAATTACATTTTGAATATGAATTTGATTTTGTCTGTAAATTTGTGATATCATTGATTAGTTTCTATATTAATATTAATCTTGTCTGAACATTGCAATAGGTTTTGATTATGTGCATTAACCTAGTTTATGTTTTGGTACGATATTGTTTCTCGAAAGTTAATGCACAGATTTGCTTATGTTTTTATTATTTGATTCAAAGAGTGTTTGTTAGTCCCAACACATGGGTTTCTAGCTCTTGACGATTTGTACAGTGCATATTTTTGTAATAAAAAGTGTATTATTTCTCATAATTTGAACAGTGGTTGTTCTTCTCTTGGAAACTGGGTCACACATTCGGATTTGGACTATAAATATTTTTTTTTATTTTGTTCAATTTGGAACTGGGCCGGTAATGTGTTTGGGCCATGCGATTCTAATTACTACAACAACAAAAATATTTTCTCATTTGGACTTATAATAATAACATTACAAAATACAATAGTACTTAATAATAGATTTAAAGTCAGATATTGACTTTAGTTTAATAATATGATAAAATAATAATCAAAAATAAAAATAGTAATAACAATAATTTTAATAACAAAATAATCCTTAAAACAAATCAAAACACTGGACGGATCTCCTCATCAGGCTTTAAACAAAATAGCTTGCTTATGGCCCTTTTTTAAAGAAGAACACACCCCCAACTTATTCTAAAAACAGACTTTAATAACTTAGTGGGCCGGTCGGAACACTTTAATGGGTCTAAATCTGATTAAAACAAATACAAACCCCTCTGGCTTATTATTCAACAACCGAAAACGAATGAGCCAGCTGAAAAGCTTAATGGGCCTGACCCAAGAAACTTATACCCCCTCATTATTGAAAACAAGTTAAAAAACCTTAATGGGCCTCTCTATTCAATAACAACCTCTTTGAACAGTGCACCTACTCTCAAAACATGAGTGAAACTTTAATAGGCCATCAGATATTGATGGCCCACTTTAGATCAGCTCACCTCTCTTCCATGTTTTTCATCCCTATAGAAATAAAACCTCTATAATATAATTTATTTAAATAGAAATCTAAATATAATATAAGGGTAGGGCAAATTCGGAGTATGACAGTTGCCCCTATTTAATCACTTTCAATTTAATAGTGTGAGAATAGGCAGGTCTCACACGTTCTGATCGGAAATTTATTAAATATTATAAGACCCTAAAATTTGTCTGAAAGATTATAAGGATACATTATAAAGCGTTCTCCTGAGTATGAAGAGTAAGCATAGATGATGATGTATCATCTAACCAAAGTTTTGATTAGAACATAGACACGAAGTCGCGAATAACTCGTCAGTATCTAAGAGATTGTAGATTCTTTTGCATATTTACAAAAATGCAAGTTTTGAAAAAACTGACTTACTAATGCTTGGAGAGTAATATAGTAAGTTGTGTTTATTCATCACAACCTAGGGGATGAATAAAACAAAGTCCGATAACACATTGTTGCCTGGATACTAGTGCAATGAACTATGCATATTTATTTACATATCTATCGCAACCTAGGGGATAGATATTTGAAAAGAGCTTGGTAACTACATCGTCGCATGGAGACTGAAGCAATGAGTTATATCGCGGATTTCACACATTGATGCATGGAGACTGATGCAATGGATTATATCACAGATGAGGGACCTGTGTATTTATCACAACCTAGTGGATAAATAAAACACAGGTTGATTATACATTGTTGCATGGAGACTGATGCAATGGATTACGTAGATTTATTCGCATATCTACAACGACCTAGGAGATAGATAATTCAAAAAAGTTTGATATCTACATCACTGCATGGAGAATGGGGAAATGGGTTATATCATAGAGGAGGAAACTCATCGATGCATGGAGACTGGCGCAATGGATTACGTAGATTTATTCAGATATCTATCGCTACCTAGGTGATAGATAATTGAAAAAAGCTTGATAACTACATCGCTGCATGGAGACGGGGGCAATGAGTTATACTTCAAATGAGGAAACACATCGCTGCATAGAGACTTACGCAATGAATTATATCATAGAGGAAGCTGCTTTTTTATAATCAAATCTTTGTTAACTAGATCAAAGATGAGATCGGATTTTTACCGGTTGTGTCTGTTTTCAACCAAGGTAAATGTTTAGCATAAAAACGTTGGGTTTATAGATTGAAATCAAAGTTTTGTTGATGATGTCGGATGTGTCTGTCCTCAACCAAGACTTTCATCATGAAGAAATAAACCCCAAATTCTCTTTATATGTACATGCACCAAATGTTATGAATGGCCTTGATACTTTGATATGGTTATGTGTACGTCATGCTTGATGTGAGGCTCTTAGTGAGGTCTAATTCTGGGATTTCCAAGGAATCTACTGCCGATATTCGATTGTGACTACCTGTTGTTGAAGTATTCTGGAAAATCATCTGCCAAGATCAACCAGGGGAATCTTCTGCTGAGATTTGATTGTGAACTACCTCCTACCGAGGTCTTCTAGATAATCATCTACTGGGATCAACATGGGGAATCTACTGCCGAGATTCGATTGTGAATTACCTTCTATCGAGGTCTTCTGGATAATCATCTGCCAAGATTAACCAGGGGAATCTTCTGCCAAGATTCAATTGTGAATTACCTTTTGTCGAGGTCTTCTGGATAGTCATCTTCCGGGATCAACCAGGGGAAT